TTTTTTTTTTTCACTTACGAGCCATTTGAAATTCAAGTCTCATGCACAATGAGAATAAAAACGAGGATCTGCTTTTCAACTCTAATTCTCCCGCCACGACAAGAAAATGTAATTAAGGTTCTACATAAGACATATATAGCAAGTTAGTAACTAGTGTACCCCTTTTGCAAAAACAAAATGAAACTCCAGCTGGAATTGCTTGGTAATGGTGTGTATTGAAAGGTTTGAAACTGTAGCAATTTGTTATTCTATGACTTAAGAAATGAAATCTAAAACACAGCTGTTTTTGATGGACCATATCATCATATTCATGTGTGGCATATTATATGAATTCTTTTGAGAAGTGAGATTTAGAACGAAAGAAAAACATATATATAAATCATAAAATGTAACTAATAAAGCATAAAGAGTCAAGGAAGCTAATTTAAGAGTCAAGGGCTCTTCACAGTTTTTCCAGCAACATCAGAAATCCAAAAGCTTCTCTAGAATATTTCATTTTTCCAGCAACACCATCAAGTATTATCCATCAGCAGATCTACAACCAGTTCAACTGGCAGGAGAGTTGAACAGAAAAACCACATAACACACATAGGCAGCACACTACAACAAAAAGTAATAACACACCACAAATCCAAAACTGATTATTTTGAAGTTGCAAAATTTTTTATTAACAGTCTAGAAATTGTTTCCTCGAGAGGTTCACTAAACCATTACAAAATGATATTTAGAACAGCGAAAACACAGAGACGGTTGGACTTTTTCTATCACTCAACCACAGCCAGCAATTCGTCTGCTTTGCAGAAACAGTGCCTATCTTCTGTTCCCAAGTCGACCTTTAGACAAAAAAACAACACAAACTGTAAGGGTTGGTGCTGACTTCCAAGCAAGTGAAAGTCGTGCGGGAGCTAAACTTCGTAGATTATGCTATGTAGATCTCTTTTTACTCCATAACACAACACAAAAATATACTACAATCCCAATTACATACCTCATAAGCATTTATATCTGAGAAAAGAACCTGTGTGCAAGGAATATCAAATCTAATCAGGCATGGACGGCAAAATGGGTAAATAACATGAAGTCTGTGATAATTGAAACTTTTTACATTTCACCTTCTTTCCAGTCTCCACTTTCTCAACCTCAGCACCAATAGAAAGGACCTGCATGCAGATTCTTATATAAAAAAATAAGAAAAACAGAATACATAACCATATCCATACATACACTTCTTGAAGCTCAAAAAGAGAAGCAATAAAATTATCGTTCACGACTTAGAATGTCTGCACATTATTGATACTTCACACACCTCCCCCATAAGGTACCGCTCAAATTTAACCGCAGATTTTGGCAGCAAAACACCTCCAGCTGATTTCTGCACCCCAAGAAAAACATAAAGTGTTATATTGTCTAAATGGCTGTCTAACCAGAACTAAGAATCGTATTAGTAAAGAAAAGACTGCACAAAAATAAAGAAAAACATGCAGCTATATAGACAGACTTCTGCTACCAGCTCCACATAAGACTAAAATAACATAGTAACTCATGAGCCATTACTGAATGAGCCCTATACATTCAACTACAATATAATGGTAAGGTCTAAAGGATAGGCAAATAGAAGGAGGAAACAAGAAATCTCTTCAAATTAAATTACAGACATACATATTTGCACTGAATATAAGCTGGAACCATGAACATGATACAAGGGAAAAAGAAAAAACTAAATGAAAAACCCACAACAAAACTAGCAGCAATACACCACCATCAGAGAAGACCTTCATATATGAACGCACACAAAAAAAAAA